AAAAAAAAGGGCAATGCTCTCACAGCTGTGGGTTTCTGACATGCATGCTTTTTCATCCCTAGCTACTCATCTCTGCCCCAAAGAGGGTTCTTCATTCATGTATGTGTGTCTCTCACCTAAACTTATGGGAAAGAAAATAGTAGCCTATCCTATTCTCCATTTTCTGTACTGTATCCCTAAATGTACCAATAAACTCAATTAAAAAAAAAAAAAAGGGCAATGCTGTCACAGCTGTGGGTTTCTGACATGCATGCTTTTTCATCCCTAGCTACTCATCTCTGCCCCAAAGAGGGTTCTTCATTCATGTATGTGTGTCTCTCACCTAAACTTATGGGAAAGAAAATAGTAGCCTATCCTAATTTCTCCATTTTACCTCAAATTTATACCTACAGGAGAAAAGGAACTTGCATGTTAGTCTCATCTGTCAAGACTTTTACATTCATTAACTTAGTTAAATGCCCATAATAATCCTACACAAGAGTTATTGCACCCAAGTCCTTGAGGCTCAGAATGGATGTCAGTTCCCAAAGATACAGCTCTTCAGTGACAGTAAGGAGTTTTGACTCCAGGTCTACCCTATTGGCAATGCCCCACCTCCTAAAATAACAGCTGGATTCTTAAGAAGGCCTGTGCACAACATTCTTCCTTCCCTGCTTCATAAATAAATATGTATCCCCTAACTTAGCAGTTTGCCTTTACCATTACACTACAAATTCCCTTAGGGTAAGTGAAGCTCTAAGTTGTCAGTCATTTATGCCTCAATGGAAATGAATTTCAGGTTCTTAGGGACACATTTTAATTTTCTAGGAGAACACTGAAATCCTGAAGGAGGAATAAAAAGGCAGAAAGGAGATGGGTAGTGGAAAGTCAGCCTCCTTCATCAGTTCCAGAGTCCTACTAGTCTATGGCATGTGCTTTTAAGACTTTTATATGCTATTTCTGCATATATCTGTACATTATGTAAAGTTCCATTCCTGCATCTATTACCCCAATGTCTAGACCTCATTAAAGGTGACTTTAAACTCCATATTTACCCTAACCCACTGTAGTCAGCAGGAGGCAGCCAGCCTGAGCTGCAGATGTGGACTTGTAATCCCTGTCCTTAGGTACAACTTGCCGCCCTTTCCCTTGAGAATTAGACCTTGATGTCCACTTTAAAAATTCTGAGCAGATGGAGGTAGGAAAGCTTAATGGATAGACTTGGAGGAGTCCTTTCTGCCTGGTCTGGGTCTGTTTGCCAAAATAAATGATATATATCAGGGCAGGGCATTGATCCAAGCCCATTGAAATTCTGTTAGCAGTACACACAGTGATGGTGTTTCAAATTGGTTCTGTGAAATGATCAGACTTAGGAAGAGAGGAATGATGTGTGCGCATCTGGCTGCTGCAGCATACTCACAGGGACAGTCCCAAGAGTGGGTCCAGGGGGGTAGCCTCAAGGAACACCCCCCCAGGACATCTGCCCCTGGCAAACAGTGTAAGAGCTACTCACTGGTAGCAGGCAGTCTGGTTTGAATCCAGACTCAAACAGTACCTACTAACTGTGTGACCGAAACAAATCCTTCCTCTTCTCTCAGCCTCCTCTCCCTATGTATAAAATAAATCCTGGATTGAATGTTCTCCAAGGACCTTTTCTGCTCAAACATTCTGTGACTTCTCTGACACTGATTTCCTTTTCTCTGTAGTGGGAGAGGCCCACCCACCCGTTTATCTGTCTTCCCTATGTTCTTACAGTGACCTCTGCTGGTGATTATGAAAAGTGTTGCAGATAGCGTCTTTGGAGGAAAAAAAAAAAAAAAAAA